CTATTCACTCTGCGATCCCCTTTTTTGATAAAGGAATTCGGGTATCGCTTAGCTTGAAAGAGGTCACCAAGGTATAGTCGTTCTGCTCTTTTGTCAACTTGCGTGCTGCAGTGTGTTTCAAATCTTTGGAAAAGAGTATGAACGCACCTGCGTTTGAGAGACAGGGACGAGTGCTGGTGAAGTGTAGTATTTGCCTTGTGCTGGTGGCTTATCTGAATATTGTGATTTGCAGTAGTCCAGCTAAACACTGACGCGCAAAAACGTTGAGGAAGGGGGCTAGTTATTTCTTTCAACTTCCATCGTGAATTAGATATTTGGGTGAACCGAGTTCAGCAATTCGTTCAGCTGCTCAGTGTCAGCGGTTTTAACAACGAGGAAAGTGCCATTACCATAACATGAACCAATTAGACCGTAGAAAAGACAGCCCTTAATGTCCGCTCAAGGTCCCATTTCTTATTGGTTGTAGGATGCGTCATTTCTTGGTGTGGAGAGCCGCCGCTCTCGGTGAATAGGTTCTGCTTCTGTTCACATCCTGTGCTCTATCAGAAAATGATGCCTCTTCAGCGTCATATCAAGAATGTTGTACATAATTATTCCGAAGTCGAACGCAAAGTGAGGGAGGCAACATCGAATGACCCCTGGGGACCCAGCAGTACGCTCATGTCGGAAATTGCCGACCAAACTTATCATGTCATACCATTTACGGAAATAATGCAGATGATTTGGAAGCGGCTTAATGACAAAACCAAGAATTGGCGGCACGTCTACAAAGCACTGACGCTTCTGGAATATATTATCAAAACTGGGAGCGAGAATGTTGCTCGCCAGTGCCAGGAGAACATCCACGCCATCGAGACACTGATGGTACGTAAAAAACTGAAAAATCTCAATGTAGTTTTTGCCATTTTTATGTACAGGATATGCCTTTTAACATGGTTTAATGTGTTTCATTCACTACTTCAGTTTTATTGCTGGTCCGGTTGCCGACATATGTCGGCAAGTCGGAAACTTCTCACCTGAGTAGTGACGTTGACATTTTCCACTAAGAATATAGCTACCCCCAGCACTCATGTGTCTTTTGCCATCGCGGTTTTCGTAATATTTGTTTCAAAAGTCTTTCTTGTCGCCCGCTTCAGTCATGGCTTATGCCATTTAAATTAACCATTTATCAGCATTATGTTAATCGTGCATGCCGTTTTCTAATAATATTTACCCTGAAAACTATACTTAATTCGTACATAGCAATGTCCTTAATTATGTACGCTCTGGTCTATCACACTGGTCTCTATTCTACATGTGCCGACTGTTTTCTTGATTATTTTTTACGTCTGACCACGTATGGCTTATGAACCTGCACATAATTGCCATTTCTTGACGAAGGTGATATATAGCACGCTCGTATTTTCGAAAAGGACAGGTTCTAGTAAAGTACCAAGTTGCATTTATTACGTTTTCTGTAGGTCTTGCGGTTGTTTCTTTGCAGTAATCTATTTATTTTCTGACTCGTTGATTTTCGATAAGTTTAGTACAAAGCAGCGGTAAAATTTGCCTAACTGTTCTACTTAGTGACGATAAATTACACTCTACATTTTATGAACATTTAAAATGTTGACCTTTCATCCACGAAGATAGGGAAATCTGGTTCATATTAACTGCAGCATTTTAATCTCTAATGTTTTCGGTATTGAGCGAACTTTCCAGGCTGTCCATCCCCTCTTTTGTGACAAGGACTACACGTCCTTACTTGTTATGCTGTGATCAAGGCCGATTTAAGCGGATTATGCCGTTACAGCTACTAGTATAGGCAGGTAGTATTGTCAGTAAAGAGAAGGGAGACTGGAATGGCCTATAATACCAGCCGTTACGGCTGTCAGAGCCTCTGGCGAGGCCCAAGGCAGAACGGGGCAGATGATTCCCGTTGGCGGTCAGGTGAACTTTCATCAACGAGTGTCAATATACCCTGACCTTAACCGGCTAGACAACGAGCTCGTGCCTCAATGGTTAGGGCGTTTGCCTCTGATCGAAAAGGTCGCGAGTTCAAGGCTCGAGTCTGGGTCTGGATACGACTGGCTGCCGATGGCTGATAAGCCAAAAATTGCCATTCCAGTCTCCCTTGTATTTGCCGGCAATACTGTCAGCGTAAGATATATTCGTGATGTTGAAATGTGTGCCGACTGCTCTCTGCGGAGCGAAGTCGACGTCCATTCAAAGTAACCTTGTCAGGCAACGATAGTCATACACCTCCAGTGTTCGTTTGTTTTCCGAGCGCACTGTTCAACACTCAGAACGGATGCCCAATGAATACGGACCGTCATGCCGATGACGCTATTGCGCGGGGCCATAGATAAATTTTAAGAGTTTCGGAAACCCTGGCTTCAGTATCGATTCTTGAGACGATCTTGCCCTAACTCTGCTTCCTTGTCAACAAAATTTACCCGAAAACCTTGAAATTGTCTTCCGCTTCCATTTGATAACCATTTATCTCGAAGTATGCCCGGAAATCAGTTCGAAAACCTCGGTTTTTCCGACTGTTTACGTATGCACAGACTGAAGTGGTGACCGCATTCGTCCGCTTTGTTAGTATGGTAATATTGTCAGTGTACTCAGGGCCAGTAAGCCAATGTCTTCGTGCAAGTCCGACACTGTCAAAATCGAGTAGTCTTTCGGAAATTCCGGCTAACGGTGTAGTTGGACAAGATGGATAAACGAATGCTCCCTAATTGAATGCTGAACCGAATACTAGATGATAATAACATCTTGCTATGTTGCTAGGTCGGACTTGTAAATCTACCGAAATAAACTTCTCAACGTTCTCGGTTATGATTTTGTACAGAAACATCTCACAACCCCTGGGTTTATTTCCCTAAATAGTACTCGAATCGCTTGGGCGCACCGAAGAAGTGGTAAACTCAAAACCCGATTCAACGCAGTTTGTTGAAGCATGGAAGAAATTCTTGAACTTTCAGTATTCAATCTCCATCGCTTGCGTGGATAAGTACACCGGTGAAACCATCAAGACCGACTAGATCAGGCATGATCACAGCCGTATTAAACGTAGGTAAGCGACCCTAGTTTTATTTACTGGCGAATGAACACTCATTCCGTAACATTCTTGCAAGTAGTCATTAGCAGGAACGGATCGATGAAAAAATCATCACGTCGTCTACAAGTGCGGATTCTATGGCGTGTTCCGGTGTGATAAAAGAAATAGATTACTTCGATAATCCTTGTACTTCTTGTTACGGCTGTGATCATGCCTGATATAGCCGACCTCAGTTATGTCACGGACGGTACTTCTCCATGCGTGACGATCGGCGGCAGTGGATCTAGAGAGCTCCATCCAGTCTCTTCTCCAACGACGGAGACCGAACCTAGAAGGTCCAAAAACTGCTTCCATGTCTTGACGGACGGTGTCGAGCTAAGTCTTCAGTTTCCCTCCTCTTCGACGCCCCCAGGCGGGGTGCGGGGCCGGTTCGAGGGCAGGATAGCTAAGCTCATGGGGCGGACGACGGAGAATGTGTCCAAACTACCTCAGTCGCCTTTCTTGAATGGCTTGAGGTATCATCGTGATATGATCGCAGCGGGTGCGGACTGTCTCATTCGAGATGAAGTAGCTATACTTAATTCGCAGGATGGTCCTCAAGCATCGGCGGTCAAAGACCTCCAGTCTTCGCTCATCTTCACCGTGCACAGGCCAACATTCACACCCGTAGAGGACTGACTGGATGGATGCACGGTATACACGAATCTTCGCGGCGATGAAGATGTCGCGTCGGATCTATAGGCGCTTTCAAAGGAGTGAGAAAACCCAGCGAACAGCATCGATTCGGGAGACAATGTCGTCCTTGATCTGCCCATTTGATAGCAGCCTCGCCCCGTTTATCCCCAGGAGTGCCTTCTCCTGGTCAGGGATGCAGCTCGAGAATAACTTCG